CTCCCTAGTGAAGTCTATTTAGACAATTAGAAGTATGTTTGCTCTCAAATAATTTCTTCTCATTAGTTTTAATAGGAGCTTTCCTAAAATCATACCTTTTATTCTTTTAAAACCAAAAGATTTGTGCAGTATAAAATGTAATTAGAAGTTTTAAGTCCTAGATTTCCATGGGAAATTTATAATGGAATCCTATAAATGAAGACTAAAGGAGATTACACTCCAATTGAGGTGTTGATGTGTAGATGTAATGTTTTGTTTTTCATTCTATTTAAATAAATGGGGCTTAAATATAGTGGACTGTGTTTACATGGTGCCTTAAAAATCATTTTGCCAGATCAAAATATTTTGCTGTTGAGAAGAAAAACAGGATGTATTGCTGATAAATCCCCATCTAATGGAGCTCACTGAACTAACACATTTCTGTGTGAGAGAACCAACAGGAAATATAATGAAACTATGATACATGGGACCTTGATGTAATAGACTGTGCACATAGCAAAATGCATATCTGTTGCAATTTGTATCATTTCCTCAATGATGTAAATTGTCACAATTATGTAATTTGTATGCTTTTTCATAATGATACGATCATCCAGTTGTTGCTGTAATGTCATACTTGATGATTTACAGGACCTTTGTTAATAACGGAAAATCATCTCTGCGATTGGTTCATTAAAACAAGGCTTCACTATATGAAAATAATGCTTGGTTATTTTGGTGATATTGACTGTAGATGGAAAAATAGATATTATGGAATAATTCTGCCAAAATGAGGCTGAAAAACAGATAAAGTACTCTGTGTGTGTGTCTGTGTGTGTCTGTGTGTGTAATAGTGGCAAACAATTCAAAAAGAGCAAGGGAAAAGTATTAAAATGCAGAATGAAACAAAAGTTTTAGAAGTGAGTGTAAGTAACTAAAACAAAAAACCTCTAATAGAATGAAGGAATTAAAACTAAAGGTGATGAAATGATATAGGATAATGAAATGAAAGAATGCTAGTGGTTCTAGCTAATGGACTGAGATCAATATGCTCAAGAACAAAGCTGATGAAACAGAAGCTATAAATGCTATGAGAATTTTTTTTAAAATGGTTAAGGCTGCAGGTGTAGCCTATATAGATGGCAAAAATTGATGTTACTTAGGAAAAGACTGTATGACATTTAAGATACATGTGAAGTCAGAATCTGTGCTCAATAACTGATAATTCACAATAAGTGTCCCATTATAAAAGGGAAAGGTAGCAAGAAGGAAAGAAAGCAAAAACCAAGAGGGAATAATGTTTGGTGGCAGAATATTGACTACAGATACTCCTCGACTTATAACAATTCATTTAGTGACTGTTCAAAGTTGCAACTTATGACCAGTTTTCACACTTACAACTATTGTAGCATCTCCATGATCATGTGATCAAAATTTGATGCTTGGTAACTGATTCTTATTTAGGGCACTTGTGGTATTCCAGAATCACGAGATCCCCTTTTGTGACTTTCTGACAAGCAAAGTCAATAGAGAAGTCAGATTCACTTCACAAAAGTTTGACTAATTTAAAAACTGTAGTGATTCACTTAACAACTGTGGCAAGAAACATCTTAAAATGGGGCAAGCTCATTTAACAAATGTTTCACTTAGCAACATACATTTTGGGCTCAACTGTGGTCATGTTGAGGACTACCTGTTTATAATTAGGGAAGTGTGAAATTAGGGAAGTCTTGTTTGGCTTTGTGCCAGATTATGACTGTGAAGGCCAGATTCTTGCTATTTAACATCTTAGTTAAAAAAATTGATAAAGCATTTGATAGTGAATTATCATAAAGAGCTTGTGTTAAGGAATGTTATTCATGATTCTGAAGTTGAATGTTGATGCCTGAAGATGAGAGCAATATATGATGGAAATAAAACATGAATGAAAATAAATTCTATGAGAAGAATTTGGCTGAGTAACTAATAATTTACAAAGAATGTTAAACAAATAATATGTAGTGAGCAATATGGATTTGAAATTAATATTAAAGATAAAAGTAGATGCATAAAACAGGGTAAATGAAATTATATACACCTGGTGAACAACTAGAGCAAATTTTTTATTTTGTGTAAAACATTTAATACAATTGGGAAAAGAGAGAAATTTTAAGCTATGCAAATATCAGTTTGTTGTGAGGAATAAATGTTTCATAATAGAAGTCAAAAGTGGGGTGAATAAAATTCTCCTTCTACTCACTTTGCTATGTCATACTAAGAATTGGGTATCTTAGGAAAAATGTGAAAATAAATTGAATACAATGAGAAGGGTTAGGTAAGAAGTGTGTAGTAAATGAAGTAGAATGAAAAATAAATGAATGGGGATTGAATATAAACATTAGTGACCAGTATGAAAAATATTCATTCAGGGGGTTTGGTCTTACAGAAGGAACGAATGAAGGCCAACATGTAAAAACAAAGAAGAACAAAAAGCTATGGTTGGAGGGGGTTAATTTAGATACTCTGAAAGAGAGAAGTAAGACATTTAAAGAACAAAAGGCAATGTATAAATTAGTATAAATTATAAATTATTTATTATTTATAATTATTATAAATTATATGAAACAAAATTGGTTTGTAAGGGTCGAAAAGTATGGAGCAGCATAATGAATGGTGTCACATAAGGCAGATTTGGTATGTCTTTTTTTCCACTTGATTGCATATCTTGAAATGAAGTAATATAATGGGTACATATGTAATTAATGCCCCAATCCCAAAGCAGTGTCCTGCCTTTAAATCTGAACAGGTTTAATGGAATTTATGAACAGTAATCAAAAGTTTTTTGTATTATTATTTTATTCAGTTACTTAAAAATGACAGTTTGCTTTGAGATACACACACACAGACATATGGAATATTGAGAGAAATAATAACTGAACAAAAAGTAACACTGAGAGGAAAAAATGGAAATGGAAACATATTTTTTCTAGAATTTATTTGTTTCTAACCAGTAAGATGTTCCAGCATTTAACTATAGATCAATATTTGATCTACATGTTTAATGGTTATACTAATGCCAAGATATAAGTTCAATTATAAGGGAGATAAAATAATTATTTAATCAATCTTGGCAGGGAACAAATAGTGACTGGTGTTTTATATTTTGGGGGAAATTTAAAGTGAAATGAGTTACAGGGTATATTCAAAAACAAGCATCTATCCCTAGTATTCAGTCACACTGGTAAACCAGTTTCTGCTATATATGGTTTGGATAACATAGAAAGTGATAACATCGTTTTCAGGAATGGAAAGTAGATGAAAGTTGCGGTGACCTACATCCTTAAACAAGGTATGGAAAGCATACCAACAATATTTTCTTGAAAGCTTTTCAACTCCTTTACCACTTTAAACTAATTCAATACTGTATATAATTCAATACTGAGGGTCTAATCACAGTGGAGTACAAGTGCTGCCTCTGAGTTTCTGTATTCCTCCTATTATATTGCATTGGTTCTGAGTATGCACACAACGCGGACTGCAAATTCTGTGCCCTGGGTCACATGACCGCAGGGGAGGAAGGAGCCTTAGAATGAACGGGGTGAAAAATATTCCATCTTGCTGCTTTACTGCGTCTCCCATAAGGATACATTGGGAGATTTTTTTCCCCTTCAAACCCAGCCTAAAAAGGCCCAGTTTCAAACTTGCTTGCTTTTGTTGACTTCATCTTCCATACCAAACTTGGCAAATTTGGTATGCGGACAGGGGAATCTTGAAGATTTGAAATCTATACATCCGAAAGTTGCCAAGATTGAAAAACATTGCACCACACCAAAATTGGTCCCATTCCATTATATCTTGAGACAATTATGTTACTGATGGTTAGAGAGATCATTCCGCTTTACCCATTTTCTTTTCAACATTGCTTTGGTTTGGAAAAAGTAAGATATCTCAAGTCAAGTTCCCAGTGGCTGAAAAGGGTCATTTGTTTTGTTGACAATGATATGGATGTGGTTCATCACTGTCTACTTCTGTGATGTTTTTTTCAAAAGCTTATTGCCCTCCTTTCAAATAGGAAGTAGTAGATTCAACCTGCTATCTGAGACAGCCAATTCCACTTTGATGTTGCCACTTGGATTTTTAAAGTCCTACTTGGGTATACATGCCACTAAACACAGAACAACCTGTTTCTAAATAAATGCAGTTAATCTTTCACTGCCGACAACCCCTACATCTACTTAACCAAGAAACAAAATTCACCCAGTTTCACTTTAGATTAGACAAGGCATTTGCAATAAAACATTCACTGAAGGGATATAATTTTGTCATAATCATGACCTACAAGTTGAAAGACTGGAGGAAAGCAGAAACCTTTTAATGGAAAGGAGAGGAATGTTCATTTGGATAAATACACTCAATTAATTAACAGCAATGGCACCAGTCCTGTGAAAAGGCTGTAAGTTTATAAACTGAATCACACCTGACACCAAGGTAGACATGAAGCTGTTGAACTGGGATCTATTTCTAAATAGATAAGTTTTAGAATCAGAGCAGAATAGAAAGATTTGGCCATTTAGGTGCTGTGATTTCTTAATTTTTACAACTTTTACAGAGGGCAGTACTGAACCAGGTCTTCCATCCCGGCAGTATTTCACCATGCCAGCAATTTTGGATATTAAATGAAGGATTTAGAGTTTTGTCCACAATGGCAACAGAGCTGATGAACTTTCCTTATAAAGGTATGTACCGCATACGGCTGCGATGTCACCCGGGGACCTTATTCTAACCCTCCTCCCAGCCGGCTAATTTACCTTCCTCTGCGCCCAAGAGCAGAGGAAGGTAAATTACCTTCTCGTGGGGGACTGCCAGAGGGAAACGGCAAGCCCGCGTAGTCTTTCAAAGAAGCTCTCCAGATTTTTCGGCGTTAAGCACCTTCTTTTGCGGGTCTCCATTGTCTTCTCCCACAAACGCGGGCAGGGGGCGAGAGGAGAGGAGCGCCTCCGCCGCCCGCCCTTCCCTCCCGAAAGGTGTCCCCCCGCGACTCACCCAAAACCACGGCTAGGATGGTGCTGAGCAGCAGCCAGTTGTTCTTCAGGAACCGCTTGCAATCGCATCCCTCCTTCTTGCCCGGCGTCTCCTTCCCCATGGCGTCTCCGTTCAGCCGCTGCTGCCCAAGAGAGGCTGGGTCGGGAAACTGGCGGGACACCGGCGGCCCGGAGCGGTGTGGGGGCGCGGCGTCGGAAGGCAGGTGGAGGAGCGGAGGGGCCGGCGGGGCGTTAACGGCAGCAAGGCTCCGTCTCGAACTCTCCGGGGTGCTGTCGTTTTCCAGCGCGGCTCTGGCTGGATGCGTGTCTAGGGGGGACGCGCGTGGGCGGGAGGGGCGCCGAGGCTTCCGCCGTGCTCGCGGCGGCCGGGCGCGTTCGCAGCTCTGCGGGTCTCCTCCGCTTCTGTCGCTGCTATCTGGGGCTGCTCGACGCAGAGGCGGAGAAGCGGCTCTGGTGCGCGCGCGCTCTTTTCCTCCTCTCCCACTCGCCTCCGCCGCGCTCTGCCGCCTTCGGACAGAAGCGCCCGCCCTGCCCTTGTTGCCCAGTTGCCCTGCGCTCCCTTTGCGCCATCCTGTTTGCGGAAAGTGGGAGGGGGGCGTCGCCCAAAGCCGCTTGGCTTCCGCGTGCTTGCGGCGGCTGGAAGTGCTAGGAAGAGGAAGCAATTTGAGGCGTAGGGGCAGAAGGGCTTTTCCCAGCCCAACCTCCGCCTGAGGCAAATTTCTTTTGGAAGGAAAGCAGCCTTTGAGGAAATGGCTGTTTTCCTTCCACCCACCACACCCCATTAAGAGAGAGCCATCCCTCACTTCTTTCCCAGTTGGGAAAGGCTGTGGCCTCCCAGCAAGAGCCTATTGCTTGGATGGAAGACCCAACAGGAAATCTTAGGGCTGTGGGGATCCTCCTTGCTCTTGTGAGCTTGGTTGTTTTCTTGAAGGGGCTTCATTGCCCAATTACAAGTAGTCCTTGACTTACAACAGTTCACTTAGTGACAGTTACAACAGCACTGAAAAAAGTGACGTATGACTGTTTTTTCACATTCATGACCTTGCAGCATCTTCATGGTCAAAATTCAGATGCTTGGCAAATTCATATTCATGACTGTTGCAGTGTCCCGAGGTCGTGTGATCAGCTTTTGCAACCTTCTGACAAGCAAAGTCAATGGGGACTACAAACAATGTTCCCTCTAATTTTTTTTCAGTGTGAGCGGAAAAGTACAGTGTTTGAGCTGCACAGTTTCATGCCTGAGCACCTAAGAGAGCAACAGTTTGAACTGCTATCACGTCTGCTGGACATTTGCGCAAAAACTGGTGTTAACATCACCATAATCTAATTCAAAAAGCCTGGCTAAAAAGGGAATTATCCTTTTCGAAAACCAAAAAAGAAAGAACTGCTTGTATTCCGTAGTATTTAATCAATGCATAGCTTTCAAATGCAATCCAAATTATATATCTAAACAACTCCTCCCCCTCCCCCGTTCCTTCAAGACAGGAAAGGAAATTAGGTCCGTGGGCCACATCCAGCCCAGCCAATCTCTCCGCATTTTCTGGGCGGGGTCTCACAGTCGCAGGAAGGAATCCCCTCTCCTAGGGATCCCCCGA